AGTACAAAACAGCATTTCCTAGCACCTGTCGCTTACTGATTGTTTGGAATTATAAATATGAGTGTAGTTCGTCTGTTAATATCACATGCACTTTTTTGTTTGTTGTTTTTTTTAGTTTTTTACTCAGACGCAGGCAGTGCGCTGCATGAGATAAAAAAGTAATATAGCCAAAACAACCGCATAGCTGCTCTTTAGTGTAGATGCATGTTGATTTTATCAGACGATGCCGCGATTATAAATGAGTGACTCCTGGTTAACATGTATTAAAAGGGGTCGTGTTTAGTCACTATTTAGTGTGGTATTTTTTGACAATATTCACTCATCATGACAGTAAAATAGGCATTCTAAGTCAATATACTGCAGTATTTCCTCTCTCAATCAGTAGAAAATATGGTTAACACCCGGTCATGCATGAAAAAAAAATACCGTCATGTACTGTGAAACCGGTATAATTTTGAAAAATACCGTGATATAAATTTTTGGTCATACCGCCCAGCACTACTATAAATATCAAGTTCTAATCTGAAAGAAAACCTACCAAATGTCAACAAGCTGAGAAGTATTTAGTCTTGAGAAAGACCTGCAGTCCACTAAGCCTTGACAGAATTCAGCTCAACAGCAAATGCAAAGCCACCGCGGGTTCTGTCAGAGGGCGACCTCCATCAGAGGGTCAAAACTCTCTCACTTTGTCCCCTTCCAGGTTTAGACAACCCCAGAGGGGTCAGATGTGTCAAACGACATTTCTTTTTAATGACAGGCTCACTGTATCCCACAAGCCCTCCACAATGCCACCGCCTCCAGTCAGTGTTTAGACCAGGTGGCTGAGATGAATTGGAGGGACGAACGTCCCTGAGTGTCTGATTACAGAGGCCCCATTTGATGAGGGTGCTCAAGCTAAATGAGCATTTACTATGGTTGCCTCAGAGCAGGTTAAATCCTATTAGCCAATGTCTTTAATGAGACAGCCAGAGACAGTGAAACAATGATGGGCAGCCTTGCAATGAATCAACCCACGCCAAGCACGATGGGTGGGGAGGGTACGCTGAAATATACAGAATCCCAAGCATGTAGGACATAGCTAAAAAGCGACGGATGCTTGGCTTTTGGCCACATTGGCAATTTCAAAATAGCCGATATGAATTCGTACACAAAGAATTGATGGTAGAAATATAGAAATGATATCTTCTGTATTCTATTTTATTGTAAGGAAATTAGGTTTAAATATTTTTTGTCAGCAGTGGAATTGGGTTGGATAAGCTCTTTTAATTTACTGTAAAACCCATGAGCATGTGTTTATTTCTGTAAATATTTTAAAGCTTCTGTTGGCCATATTTGATGAGCATTATGTATGTGTGTTGACGTGTTCATTTATATTTCGAAGGTGAACAAAAGGGTTTGGAATGACATGAAGGTTAGTAATTGATTATTTTTGAATAAACTATCCATTGAACATGAGTAATTAATGACCAAATTGTCCTTTTTGTGATGAACTATCTCTTGAAATGCAGTGAACAAGTACCTGGACATTTTTGGCTCATTTGGATTTGGATTTTGAGCTTGAGACCTGCAAGAGTATACTAAATATAGATTGTTCAAAGTTGCAA